TCTAATAAACTCATTCCAAAAAATCCAGATTTTATTAGAAATATTACCAAAAGCATGTTTAAAACCCAGAAACTTCGCAGTGGCAGACAATTTATCCATAGAAATAAAAGGTTCAAGTAAAACAAGAACAAAAATTTTATGAATACGACACAAATTTTTAACCCTAAATTTCGACGAAGGACACCCAATGCCCCTCACATTCCAGATAATAGCATTAAGCATAAATACAGTAATTAGTGGGAAGTATGTGAGTGAGTAGTTCTAGGCGATTGTAAAATGACATTCTTAGGTTTCTTACCTTTCTTACCACGACCCTTAGAAAAACTCAAATCATGATCTTCTCTAGCATAACATTTAGCAGTAATTTCAACTTCAGTGTCAGTGAAGGCTTCACCATGATAATGATTAGACAAAGGAAACTCTACATTATTCATCTTATCAGAAGCCTCTTTAGGAGGCAACATACCTTCCATGTAAAGAACTCCATCCTCAATAGTAGAAGTATTTTTCCCCTAATGCTTCGAAGCATTTTCATTAGCATTAGAGAGATTATCCAAATCCTGCACAGAAGAGTCAACCTTAGCCTTTTCCGTATCATTTAACATAGGCAATTCAATACCTTTGGCAATTTCCACATCACCCAGGTCCAAGACCACCTCAAGGTTATCAGAACTATTAACAGGGATGGCGTCATGCCATTTCTCAAGCCTTAGGATATCCGTATTTTTGCTAGAGCATTCGGCCTCCCCCTGAAATTCTGGATTACAATTAGCAATAGGATGAGAAGAAGAAACATTAAGGATATTATCATTGTCATTGACCAACGGATCTAACGAAAAATTATTCAGATTAAGCCCACTAGAGTTAATGTCATTAGATTTTTTATTTACTTCCATATTCTTCAAATGAACCGATTGATCCCCTGCACCCAAAATCAAATCCACGGGTCTAGAAACAGACCCGACCCCATTGTTAGAACCAAGCAAATCCTCCTTATCACCTTTCCCATTAACTTTAGCAGAAATTTTTTCTTTTCTCAGGGTAGGATGTAAACGATAACATTCATTCATAGCATGCCCATGAATTTTACAATGAGAACAAAATATGGGAAGATTTTCAATTTCAACTTTCTGAAAATAACCATTTTTTTCGATCCTAACCAAATATCATGCGGATATTTTTTCGTAACATCCAACTCTACTAAAACACGCGCCACAGAGGGTCTAGTTAAAGAAGCAGTAGCTTGATCCGTTTGAAGAGGTCGACCAAATACAGATGCCATCCCAAAAAGTATGTGAGAATTGAAAAAATGCAAACGAAGATTAGGAAATGCAATCCACACCGGGGAAATAAGAGATTCCTCCCTCACATCAAAATCCGGTGACCATTTCAATAGCCTCATTTGACAGCCCTGAATGTAATAAGAACGCTCGCAAAAATATGACTATAATCTAAATCATTAGATAGTTGAATCGCAATGTGCCTCGGGTCCAAAAGACCCACGTTGAAAGATCCAGAAAGTTTCAGAAATAGAAAAATTTACGGATAACATCAAGGTTCGGTCTACGCAGAACAAATTTTCCAACAAGAGTGAAAGAAAAAGGGGCCACCAACAGCGAAACAGCTTCATCCTCGAACATTCACGCAGGACAACCTTTAAAAGAGCCATGCACGAATTTAATCTTATTACCTGGAGCAGAAGAACCACCCGAAACCACATCTTTGAAAGATCTAGTGTAAGCGGGAGGAACAGAAGTAATAATCGGGCTAGATGACGAAGGAGTCGTCATCGCCCCCCCCAACAAAAACCCCGAAAGAACCTCAAAACCACACACAGAAGGAGCAAAACCAACAGAAAACACCAAAAAAGACCCACGAAACCAAAGCCAGGAGAAGAAACAGAGTTACCATAAGATGAAGAACAACCCGAGAACGAAACAACAGCAGCGATCGGAAGGAACAGACGAAACAGACAAATCGCCCGGAAATCGCCTGAGAGCTGACGGCTAGGGCTTCTCTGGTCACTTTGAAAAAACTTAATTATGTGGTTGGATAATATTATGTTCATACAAAAAAGTCTTGCTAGGTTTTTAATAATTCATATTATTTGGCTTTTATATAACAATTCTTTTTCACAAAATAGCTGACCGATAACAAATTAGATAATTTTTAAATTACCTCAATTTCACGTATAAAAAATATGAAAGAACAAATGTCTTAGTCATTTTGAATTATTTGCATAAAATTACTTCAAATTAAATAACTTTAAATAAAATACATTTTATCTAAAAAAATTCACTATTACTTAAATAGCATCATTATTTAGATTAGAATATTATATAAAATAAATTGAACTGAACAGACGCATAAATTATTTTAATATTACACAAAAAATTCAATTAATAAAATTTAATTTTTAATTATAAGTTAGGATTACTTTATAGATTGATATTAAATTCAAATGTCCTTTTCATATAAAAACATTAATTATTATTAAGTGTACAAGTTAATATAAATTTAAATTAATATATAATTTTAATTTTATTCATAAATACATAATTTTTAAAAATTATTTGAAATACTTATTTTTAAGATAAAACAAAATTGACTTTATTTCCCGTTTACTAATAACTTCTATTTTTATCATTTACTTATTGCTTTAGAGTTAATTTTTTCATAAAAGTATATTTATGAATTTATCACAAAAATTAAAAAACTAAAATTAACACTTTTTTTTTAATATTTCCATCAATTAAAATAAACTCACATATACATCAACCTATTGGACCTGATGATATTCCAATAGAGATGTGGAAATGCTTAGGAGTTGAAGGAATTTTTTGGCTTAATACTGTTTTGAAGACTAAAAAGATACCAGATCAATAGAGAATTAGTGTGTTAATTCCTATTTTAAGAATAAAGGTGATGCACAAGAGTGCGAATTACAGAGGTATTAAGTTAATGTGTTATACTTTAAAACTATGGAATCGAGTTATGGAGCAGAGATTGTGGCGTGATTCTAATGTTTCTCAAAATCAATATTTATGCCAGGTAGGTCTACTATGAAAGCCATACATTTATTGAGAGATTTGATGGATAAATATAGAGAGAATAAGGAGGATCTACATATTATATTTATTTATTTAGAGAAAGCATATGTTAAAGTTCCAAGAGAAGTGCTTTGGAGAGTTCTTGAAAAGAAAGGAGTTAATAACGCTTATATTCAAATCATTAAAGATATGTATGCATGAGCTACTATTTGTGTTCAAACACAAGGTGGTTTGACCAAGTGTTTTCCTATTTTGGTTGGATTACAACAAGGATCGGCCTTAAGTCCATATCTTTTTTATTTAGTCATGGATGTTCTCACTAGACATTTGTAAGAAAATGTACCTTGGTGTATGCTTTTTGTTGATGATATTCTTCTTGTTGATAAGACTAGAGAGGGAGTTGAAGGTAAACTTGAATTATGGAGGTCAACCTTATAGTCTAAAGATTTTCACTTGAGTATATCTAAAATTGAATATATGGAGTGTAATTTTAGTAGCAATAGACCTAGCGATGGGATTGTGATTTTGTACGATCAAGTCATTAATAAGAGTACACATTTTAGATATCTTGAATATATTATTTAGAGTGATGATGAAATAGATGGGGATATTATCAACAGAAGTCAAGTTGGATGGTTTAAGTGGAGGAATGCATCATGCTTGTTGTGCGATAAAAAAGCCCCCCTCAAACTTAAGGGAAAATTCTATAAGATGGTGGTGAGACCTATAATGCTTTATGTTGTTGAATGTTGGCCATTAAAAGAGAAGCATAATACTAAGTTAAGTGTTGCTGAGATGAGGATGATTAGGTGGATGAGTGGCTTTACCCTTAGAGATAAGATACGAAACGAGCATATACGTGAAAAGGTTAGAGTAGCTCCATTGGAATATAATATTAGAGAGAGTCGCCATAGATGGTTTGGTCACATTAAACGGAGGCCTATTGATGATCCGATTAGGAAAGTTGAGGTGTTAGATTTGACTTGTATTAAGAAAGGTAGAGCTAGACCGAAAAAGACTTGGTTAGACTTGGTTGGGCGAGCATGGTTGGGAACTGCCCAACCCATGTTCGAATCTCCTCTCATGCAGTGCGACCCATATAAGTAGAGAGAAAAAAATTGTGAAACTTGCACCTATGTGGCTTGTTGCTGACAGGGGCAGACCAATCCTTAATTTTCAAGGGGTGGGAGGCAAACTTATAAATAACTATTAGTATTACCTCGAATTGACTCGACCTTTCGCTACAAAAAAATGGGTTGCTAAAGATAATTTATCATTCAATTTCTAAAATATGTATGTTGAATTTGCCTTGAATTTGCTCGACCCCTATTTGTTCATATCCTTATCATTATACGATTCGCAAATATGCCAAGGGTCCGAGGGGTTAGCACCCCTGACAGGGTTCGACCTCTATGGAAAGTGCTTAATTATACTATGGAGCAATTGCCTAAAGAGCGTAATATTTTAAAAAGTAGATAAAATGGACAAATTACAAAAAAAAGTATATAATAAAAAAATTTATTATATGATCAGCCCATGGTTGCTGATAGGCTTGACGAGGGATTAGTATGTCGTCATACACCTCTCATGAGGATGACAACAGGTGGATACCCTAAACCCTAAACCCTAAATCCTTATAATGCCTAGTTGAAGAGTTTAATAATATATCTACGAAGATTTCAAAGAACAAGCCCGCTTATTACATCAATGGTTTTGAGCCTCTACTATTTGTGAGTGCGGGTTGCGTTAGGTAGTCGACAGCCAGCAGATAAAAAAGTACTTTTTATCTACTTTTTGACAAATTACCTAAAAAATCATTTAATAAAAAGTGGATAAAAATGACAAATTACCTAAAAAATTATTTAATAAAAAAAATTTATTATATGATCAGCCCATGGTTACTGATAGGCTTGACGAGGGATTAGTATGTCGCCATACACCTCTCATGAGGATAACAACAGGTAGATACCCCGTTTATAAAAATACAAAAATAAAAATAAAAACCCTAACTTCTTTCTTCAATCGATTATGTATTGAAGCATTGCAAGCTGAAATAAGTAACATCAGTAAACAGTTGACGCGGTATGACAGTCCAGCAGAATCTACCTCCAAAATATCGAACCCACGTCTACAAAACCCCACCTCGCTGTTTCCACCCCACTCTGCCTCTCACCTTCCCGAATTTGTCCCTCAACTCAGTCTATTATATCATCCTCTCTTCCATATCCACAAATTTAGCATCAAGCCTTTCTCTACCTACGCAGCAGATCATCTAGGTCAGCTAATCAAGGAAGAAGAAGAAGTCATACAGAATTAATTGGCCGTTTAACATGAGAGAAATCTTGCACATCCAGGCGGGGCAATGCGGAAACCAGATCGGAGGCAAGTTCTGGGAAGTGGTCTGTGACGAGCATGGCATTGATCCAAAGGGAAACTACGTCGGCAACTACTCTCATCTGCAGCTTGAGAGGGTAAATGTCTACTACAACGAAGCCAGCGGCCACCGCTATGTCCCTCGCGCCGTGCTCATGGATCTGGAGCCTGGAACCATGGACGCCCTGCGCACCGGGCCCTACGGCCAGATCTTCCGCCCCGACAACTTCGTCTTTGGCCAGAATGGCGCCGGCAACAACTGGGCCAAGGGACACTACACCGAGGGCGCCGAGCTCATCGATTCCGTCCTCGACGTGGTTCGCAAGGAAGCCGAGAATTGCGACTGTCTTCAAGGTAAGCATCCTAACATATATTTTGGTTGAGGACTTTCGTCGAACAGCTTGGGTGCGTGCCTGTTGTGATGAGAATATGAACGCAGGGTTTCAGATCTGCCATTCCTTGGGAGGCGGGACGGGTTCGGGGATGGGGACGCTGCTGATATCGAAGATCAGGGAAGAGTATCCGGATCGGATGATGCTAACTTTTTCAGTTTTCCCGTCGCCGAAGGTGTCGGACACGGTGGTGGAGCCGTACAACGCGACACTGTCGGTGCACCAGCTGGTGGAGAATGCGGACGAATGCATGGTGCTGGACAATGAGGCCCTCTATGATATTTGCTTCCGTACCCTCAAGCTCACTAACCCCAGCTGTACGTACCAAATTTATAAGCCACTTTTTTTTTTTTTTTTTTAATTTATAAGCCACTTGTTACACGTGATTTGGTAGGTTATAAATTAGAAGCAAAACAAATCAGAATAATGAAGAGATGGTTGAAAGAAGAACAAGACATCGTCTCCATTTGGATTAAAAATAAAATAAAATCATATAAGATTTTCTTAAATCAATTCTCATTAGGATGTCTTAATCATCATTGGTTTATATTTTTGTGTCAATGTTAAAAGGATCAACGATTAAGAACGTAGAGTCATTAGATTTGATCTATGTTAAGAAAGGTACAGCCGTACAGGTAGACTTAAAAAGTTTTGTTATAAAATATTAGAAATGATCTTTCCTTATTGGATTTGAACAAGAATTTGACTTTCAACAAGACACGATAGAGAAAAAGTATTCATATAACCGATCCCAGGTAGTAGAACAAAGATTTGATGTTGTTGTTGTTGTTAAAAGGATCACAGGTCATGTGATAGATTTGAATAAGAAATTTTAATTTAATTCTAATTATTCAAAAAAAGTTTTGTGTGGCTAAATCTTCAATGCTTAATATTTATATTTAGATGAACAAGAATATTCAGATATAGAGTTAGATCCGGATTTTGAGTTTATATATTGTGTAAAAGTATATTGTATATTTTTTGTACATATTGTGTATTACATATTATGTTCACTCATACATCCGGACGCAACTCTATGTCCGGAATATGCACATAATAATTTCTCCTGACGATTTGAAAATAAATTTAAAAGAAATTCATGATTTATACCCCATTCATTGTTAAAAAAAAGTATATAATCTATTTTTCCGATTTCTCTTTTGCTGAATCTATATTTATTTTTAAGATATAAGATTATGTGTTTGGTTAAGATCTAATTAATAAATATATTATTTATTTTAAGTATTATTATATTATTATCATTATTTGATTTGTTGAGTGTCGATGTATATTAATCTATATTTATATTTATTTTTAAGATATAAGATATGTGCAGGATACATGTACTTGTTTTATATTGCTAAACACATCATCTACATATTCAATTAAAATAATAATAATATCTCCCCAAAATAAAATAATAATAAATTAAAAGACATTTATGACTGATACATTTGTCCCAAATTTAAATTTAAAAATATATTAAATAAATAACCTATATTAAATCTTTTATTTACATTTATTTAAAAGAAAATATTGCTTAAGTAATTTAATAGCACTACAACATTAATTTTAATGTCCTTATTCTACTCAATATTTCTATAATTTAAAATAATATTCATCTAAATTTAAATTTTATTAGCTTGAAGTTGAGATAATTAATCCTTTTGAAAAAAAATAATAAAGAATGAATATTACTTAAAATTATAGGAAATAACATTTTATTTCTATTTTACCAATATTTAGATAAATATTATTTCATAATAGGTAAAATATTTGATGAACTTACCTACTATTTCAATATATCTTGGAGAAATTATTAGGCGCAGAACATAATTTTTTCTCTTTGTCAAATAATGCAACTCTAAGTATTTAAAAAAAATTAAAAAAAAATTTATAAAAAAAAAAAAAAACTAAAAGGAAAAGATGCTAATGTTCGATCCTGATCACCTGGCCACATCAGTCGGAGATCTGAACCATCTGATATCAACAACGATGAGCGGCGTAACCTGCTGCCTCCGCTTCCCCGGACAACTGAACTCCGACCTCCGTAAGCTCGCCGTCAATCTAATCCCCTTCCCCCGCCTCCACTTTTTCATGGTTGGCTTCAGCCCTCTCACCTCCCGCGGCTCCCAACAATACCGCGCCCTCACCATTCCCGAACTCACCCAGCAAATGTGGGACTCCAAAAACATGATGTGCGCCGCCGATCCTCGCCATGGCCGCTACCTCACCGCCTCCGCCATGTTCCGCGGCCGAATGAGCACCAAAGAAGTCGACGAGCAGATGATCTCCGTCCAGAACAAGAACTCCTCCTACTTCGTCGAATGGATTCCCCACAACGTTAAGTCCAGCGTCTGCGACGTTCCTCCCAACGGGATCAATATGTGCGCCACCTTCATGGGCAACTCCACCTCCATTCAGGAGATGTTCCGGCGAGTGGCCGAGCAGTTCACTGTCATGTTCCGAAGAAAGGCTTTTCTTCATTGGTATACAGGAGAAGGGATGGATGAGATGGAGTTTACTGAGGCGGAGAGCAATATGAATGATTTGGTTTCAGAGTACCAGCAGTATCAGGATGCTGTTGCACAGGAAGATGATGAAGCTTATCCTGACGAGGCTTAATGATTTATTTATTTGATCGTTCGATCAGCTCGAATGTCTGGATTGTTCGCTTGCTAAGTTACTTCTTTTATTGAATGTTGTGTGTAGTGTAGAGGTTGAGAATGGGGGAGGTTTAAGATGTGTGATTTCTATTAATTGTATTCTTGTTTGCTTTTGTATTATTTTTTAATATCGTCCGTGTGAATGATATTTGAAATTGTTGGCCACCATTAGCGTTCATAAGTTTAAAAAAATTATTTAGTGCGGTGTCCGGACTAATCCAGAGGTCAATTCGGACGTTTCACGCCACTCAATGCTCAGTGCATTAAATGATGTTGTGCATCCGAATTGACCTTCGGACACATTCAGACATCGCACAAAATAATCTCTCCTTCGTTTGACATGGGATAATATCGAACAGCAAGTTCAACCATGAACCAATTCGGATTGAATTGGCAATTCAACCGGTGAACCGTTGAATCGGTCAAGATTGAAAAGAACCGACTAGTTTATAAAAAAAAAAAAAATTTTGTTTTTATTAAATTTTAAACAATATATTTTAATTTATTATATTCTTTTAACTTTTTAAAATGCTTTTATTAAATATGATGATTAATATCACCATAATATTTGCATGTTATTTTAAATATCTCACATAATTTGTTTAGCAAAAAGAGATCATTTCACTCTTTATAAAGGATTCAAAGCATTATTCTCAAACTCTCCTCCTACGATGTGGGACTAAAAAAAGGTTCATGAATAATTTAGAATGTGAATTTGGGCTTATTTTGATAAGTTGTGCTTCAAATTTGAGCTTAGTTTAATTATATTATATTATATTAATTTTATTAATTTTATTAATTTTTAATATTATTATTATTTATTATGTCATCTGGTTCAATCCTAGTTCGATCGGTCAAATCGTGAACCTCTCTTTCTTCTGGTTCGTTGTCCGATCCGATTTTCACAATCTTAAGTATTATAATGATTCCACTATATTATATTATCAAAATTATGTTTAATTTTGAATTTTGAATTTTAAAGAATTGAGTAAGGAAGATCTTATTTTCTTAATTGGAGTTAGCCCCTAGAATAATTAATGTAGGGAACTAGTCTACACCGTATCAACCACTGCTAAATTGAGCACATTGAACCACAATCTTCCATTGTCGCCATACATATTTGACGACAATGTTGTTGTTTGTAAGATATATATAGAGTTGTAAATGCTTTCAAACATATTTAGCAATTAGTGATCAGTGCATCACAAGGAGAGTACTCACATCAAATGGGCCCCAAAGATGGGCATACGAGGGAAGGTGGCCATGCTTGGATGTAATGGAGGATCTCTTCAATCATGCAAATCCCACTTGCCTCATGGAAGGGAGGCAACCATTACAGAAATTCGACCCCATTCATGGTTGTTGCCTTCATCCTCACGCATCCAAATCTAGCTATATGAAAGAACCCACCAAGAGGGCGTTCAACTCGATCACCCTTCTTTAACCAGCTAACCACTGAGTAACCTCTATTCACTTGGCTTCTCTTCTAGGTAATCCAGTATAGGTTGTCAGCATCTCAATGACTTCACTTATTCATCATGCACCCCTTGCTCAAATTTTGCTCGCATACTCGCCCACTCATACTAAAGACTACTAGACTAGCCTACACTACATAAAAATCATACCTAGTGAACACTCAACACTGTTGAGCTCGCTAGAGATTGATCATCGGAGCACTATAACCACCCATCCATTAACCAACTCGGAGGTGACCTGTGTTTAATAGTATGTGTATCATTGTATTTTTTTTTTTTACTTTTTGGAAATGTAGCTTATTCTATAGCCCTCAAAACCCTATAATAAGGGGTGATGCTTTTGAATCCAACAACATTTTAGGTGTGTTGAGCGTGAATTGATGCTAGTGATAAGAAAACAAGCTCACCTCAACATGTAAAATGCCCCAAAGCCATCTTTAAATATGGAGAACCAAAACTGCACCACTTGTCGCAAACTGATGGATGGAAGAAAGGATAACAAAGATTATCCATGGCATCATAGGTGGTCTCAAAAAAAGAATACATTGGAGCTGTACCCAGGGGCGGAACCAGCCTTAATTCTTAGGGGGGGGGGCAAAACTAGAAAAAGATAAAAAATATATTTATAACAAAATTCAAACAATATATTATATTGCAATAAAAATTACAAGCTTTGCATTCTATTTTGCATCTTCTGATAATGTTGCATTATAACTTCATTTGGAACCAAATCAAATACTTCTTTCTCAATATATGGCACTAGACAGTCGTTGAGCCAATCATCACCCATTTTACTGCGTAATCTATGTTTAACAATTTTCATTGCTGAAAAAGCTCTCTCCACTGTAGCAGTGGCAACGGGCAGAGTTAATGCTAAAACAAGAAGCCGATAAACTAAGGGGTACAAGATATCTTTTTTAATCTTAACAAATTGTTTTGCAATATCAGCAATGCTCTCCAAAGATGAGAATTCCTCACTTGTACGCATATCAAGAATGTATGTTGATAGATGGTGCTCTGAAGCCACAAGTTCAACTACTAAAAAATCAGCTGAATATAGTTCTGCAAGCCGAATTAATTTCTCTTTATTATAAGCAGAGAATGAGCTACTTGGATTTAGATATGATATGCAAAGAAGCAATTCAGTACTAGCTTCAGAGAATCTATTATTCAGCTCTTGAAGTTGCATATCAATAATAGTGTAAAAGAATTCCACTCGGTAATGATGTAAATTTGTTACGTCATCATTTCTGCGTGTTGATCGTCGACGAGCTTTGAATGTAGAACTCATAACAGGAACAACAACTTCAAAAACATTACAAAAACGAGATACTTCTTCCAATAAGGAATTCCATCCATTATCCCTCATCATCTGTAATTGTTGTTTAGAGATTTGCACTAACTTCATTGCATTCACTATATCCTGATTTTTTCTCTGCAAGGCCTGTGATAACTCATTGGTGACACCTAAAATATCAATCATTAAATGCAAAGCAAGAATAAAATCAAAAGATTCCATGACATCTATAAGAACACCATATTCAACGGCTTGTTGATCATGTACCCCATCTTCTTTGATAATTTCAAGAACTTCAATTACTGAAGCATACATTTTCTTCAAGCTAATTAATGTATGAAAATGTGAACCCCAACGAGTGTCACCAGCTCGTTGTAAGCTTGTCTCTTGGTTCAATCCTCTACCACTGCTCAACTCCCCTTTGGACAAATGAAACAATATTTTATCATGTTGAATTGCTCTAAGAGTATCACTCCTCTTACATGAAGCTCCAACGGTATTGACAATTCTTGCAAGATTGTCAAATACTGTTTGAGGGAATTTATGACTTTTGGGTTGATGGGGTCCCTTCAACAAATATGCTCTCCAAATTTTATCTCTTTCATTGACATCGTAACACCAAATTGAAGGCCGAATTCCAGGATCGACAGGGAGATTGTTAATATCAGTCTACAAAGGTTCTTTCCTCTTTAAATAACATTCCATTTGATATATCCTATATTCCTATTCAAAGAAATCTTTACATCATTTAGAAATCCTTATATAATATGATTGATCAACAAAGTAAATAAAACAAAGGAAAATTTTTTACTAAACTGCCAATTTTCACTTCAAAAAACTATCAACTAATAGAGGCTTTCTATTTTTTTTTAATCATATTTTTGTTTATAACTGTAGCTTAGGATAACTTTTACCATTTGATAGTTGAAAATCACTATCAAAATCACATGGAAGATCAAACATGGATGGATGATAACATAAAGCTCAATCTGTGAACTCACTGATAAGAACACTAACTGCCCAGCAAATTGTAAGTCACATGAATAAATCTCAAGTATTGAGACCTCAAAATTAACTTATTCTTTTGGTTCAACTCCAACCAGCTGTGACACGAATTAGGTGCAGATTAAAGCTTTCCATACACTAGTATTTGGCTAAATCATGCAAAAATTAATTGTTTTTTAAAAAATCCTGCATAACTAAACAAAAAAATACTAAAAGCACTTACTATTATAACCTAACACTCAAAAAAAAACTAAATAATGATGAAAAATAAACAACAGGTATCAATAGAACATTTACATAATCTTAAAGTTATTGATTTCCTGGAATGGATCAAGAGAATAATGGCTAACACTATCTTAATCACAAATGTGACAAACCATCACAAATTTTCAAATTTAAAAGCCATTTTAATAACAATGTTAATTACAGTTGTGTGCATTCCTTATTTCCTTTTGAATGATACCAAGCTTGTTCCCCATTTTAACAAACGTTAGCTACAGGTTAGTTTAATTACAAAAGCAAAACTGTAATAAGACTTAAGAAAACCGAAAATCACAAAACATAACACAAGTTTTAAGATCAAAACATTGAAATTTATAAAATCAGAAGTACCTGAAGGCTGAAGGAAAGGATGAACCGCTGAAATATGAACCGCGTCTTCACTCTTTAGCGACCTCCTTGACGAGTCGAAGGAGGAGGAAGGCCGAGCTGCTGAGCGCCGACGAAGGCTGAGCCGTTGAGCGCCGACGAAGGTCGAACCGTGGAAACTGAAACCCCAAATCGCGCTGCGCCTGCGCCGCTGCTTGTGCGGGATTTTTTGCGACTTGCGAGAGACGAGAGAGTACGACAAAGTGGGTGGGTTAGGGCAAAATATTTATTTTAGGGGGGGGGGGGGTTACTAAACTACCCTAACTATATTATTAAACTATCCTAACTATAATTTTTTTTTTAGGGGGGGCAATTGCCCCCCCTCAAATCTAAACGGTTCCGCCAGTGGTTGTACCCTTGGTAGCTCATCTGACTAGACAGCTTATCTTAGGAGACCAAAAGACTAACCACCAACTTCAACGTCGATACCTAATCACACTTGAATGATGATGAGTGATGGAGAGTACAACTAACAAGGATTTTTTTTTTTTTTTGCCATGCAAATGAAAAGCTTCGTGCTTTATCTTATATTCACTACAGAGTTCTCTAAAGGAGGTTTAATTTTCTACGTTGTAAGTCCTATTTAATGAAAGTTCACATGTCGTGCCAAGTTATATACTTACGAGAAAATTGTCAATCCCGCGAGAAAAACTATAAAATTTCTAGGTTTACTTTACTATTACCTACTAAACTTCTAAATTTATTTGCCTTGATGATTTAAATGGGTGGTGTAAATAAAGTTA